CAAGGTTGATGGTGATGGAATATTTTCCGTTGGTCGTGGCAGTTCCCATAAAACGGGGATCATAAGACTCTATGATGACAAAGATGAAAGGAAGTTTTATTCTCAACTTTCTTCCAAGTTTGATCCGTAAAAGCTTAATGGAATTGGTGATATTTATTTGGATTCAGACAATGATTTGAGTGACAAAAGTATGGAAATGCTAATAAAAAGAATTAAAGGTAAACATTTTTCTTGGAAGAGTAGGGTGCTTCACGTTCATGCAGAGTTCAGCATCCTTCTCTACCAAGAAAAACGTTTTACCTTTAATTCTTTTTATTAGCATTTCCATACTTTTGTCAGTCAAATCATTGTCTGAATCCGAAGAAATATCACCAATCCCTTTAAGCTTGTACGGATCAGACTTGGAAGAAAATTGAGAATAAAATTTCATTTCATCTTTGTCATCATAGAGTCTTATGATCCCTGTTTTATGGGAGCTGCCACGACCAACGGAAAACATTCCATCACCATCAACCTTGTCACTCTCAATTAAACTTCTTTTCCTCTTGGAAAATGAAGTAGAGAATTCCTCTATAACCTCTTTTATCTACTTAGGAAATGTTAAATTCCTACCTACACCATCACTATTTGAAACACATGCCATTGCCTTCTCATCATCATTGTCGCTAATAAGAACAACAATTGATCAAAGACACACCTTGTCAGGTACTGTATCCAAGTTCATCCCGAGTAATAGTACCACGAGGATAATCACCATAGCCACCAGACAACTTTATGATGCCAATGAAGTAAGATGAGCTATTCAATGAAACTCGTATTGTAAAGAAGAAGAAAGAGACTGATTCAGAAAAGTGGGTCGAGGATTCTAAAACTCGTAGTGTTAGTTCTATTGAACTTTATACTTTGTTGCTTTTAATTGTTGTTGTTGTTGTTGTTGGCATAAAATGCCTGTTTAGGATTTTTGGTAAGCTGGCAGGTGGTGTAGCTGCCAAAACAGGCAGTTTCTGCCAAAAATATACCAAGAAAAGTGACCAACTTTGGTCTCTAGTTGGTCGCTTTTCACTTAAAAAAATAATTTTCTGGGCAATAGCGACCAACCTTGGTCGCAATTTAACCCAGATTTCTCAAAAGCGACCAACTTTGGTCGCTATTCCATTTTAAAAAAATAATTTCTGGAAATATGGCGACGCTTATAATTAAAAAAAATTTAATTCTTGCAGTTGGCGACCAATTTTGATCGCTCATTTAAAAAAAAATTATAAAAATTAATAATAAAGCGACCAACTTTGGTCTCTATTTTTCAGATTTTAAAATATAATATTTTCTTGCAGACCAAAGTTGGTCGTTTTTTTATGATTAATAATAAATAAATAAAAACGTAATTTACATGTGGAGACCAACGTTGGTCGCCAAATTTATATTATTAAAATAATATAGCGACCAACGTTGGTCGCTACTTTCTTTACAGGAATATTTGGTCCTTTTACCTTAGATAGCGACCAACTTTGGTCTCTAAGGTAAATGGACCAACTTAATATCGACCAACCCATTTTGGTCGCTATTTGGTCGTTTTTTAGCCAATAAGCGACCAACTTTGATCGCTTTTTGTGATCGCTTTTTTTCGAATTTCTAGTAGTGTATAGAAATGTGTCAATTCTTTTTCAAACGGACTAATAAAGAACCGTTCGCAACTTCAGGATGCATTTCCAAAATAATTACTCCTTACCATAGAGGTGTAATTGGAAAAGAATTATAAAAAAACAATCTTTATTTCATTCCAGTACTATGCGCACGACTTACAATACAATATTACACCCTCATACCACTCTCAAACACACAACATACCCAAAACAAAAGAGGGGAATTCTATAGACGCACAAGCTTGATCCCCTTATTCAGTATATATTTACTCTGTAGTTTTCCCCTCTGTAATAGTTTTGAGCCTCAAATCCCAGCTCATTTGCGCTTTAGCAAATTACTGTGTAGTTTTGGCCTGTATAGTCTGGGTTTGAGCGTCAGCCACAGCAGCTGGGTTGCTCTTGACTTCAGTTGCTTGCTGGTTTGCTGCATCAGGGTGTTGCTCTTTAACTGTCTGTTGCTTAGTTTCTTCAGTCTCTTTCTTCGCTGCTCGATCACTTGTTAGTTTCTCTACCTGTTCCAACATGCAAATACTAATTTAAGTTCTATTCACAAACATTGTAAATTTCACAGATCACTAATTAGATAATTAAAAGGTAAATATTACAAGTAGTAATTATAATAATCTTGTAATTAAAAACAGTAACTAATAACTTGCTAACACAGTCTAAAAGGGAGATTTGAGCAAACCGAAATAAGAATAGAAAGATTAAAGAGAAGCTACTACGTACAGTTTCTTGTGCCGCGGCTTTTGTTTTCTCCAGCCCTGCCTGAGCAGAAGCTGCAACATTTGCGGCTGTCACTTTTGCAGACTGCATTTTCTTCTAATGTCTCCTTTTTTTGCTTTAACTTCAGTATATGAACTAATTCTGATTTCTCGGATATTATATCGGACAATTGATGCAATATTGGCTCTGCCTCTGCAAAGGTATAAATAGAGGGTTAACCATATAGAAGCTGGTTACTGTCTTCCTTTAAAATGCCACCACGTTGTCCATTGATGAGCTTCCACAATTAGATATATTAAAGGCAGAGACACGTACGTTTTCCACCTGCAAAGTGAAAAGACAAGGGATTGTCAGGTAAATACATGTTCATGTAGGGATGGAAGTCTAGCTTTTCTTCCACGTTAATGGCTATCTAAATCTTTTTTGGGATACTCAATTTTAGTAGGAATGGAGACAATATTTTAATTGAGAGAAGATGAAGTTAAAAGCTGAAAATGAGGATTTGAAAGTTGCAATACAATTGTTTTTGCAAAAAAAAGTTAAAATTTTATGAGTAAAATTTATTCTTAGTTGAAATATTCTTAGATAAATTTTGTTTAATATTTCTTTAGTATTTCAAATATTGAAATTTGATATTTACACATATTGATGATCAAATTAATCAATATTACAAAAACTACATATCAGTCTTTTCTCTTTCTTTATCTTTTTCCTGTTTGTTTCTTTTATGGGAATTAGGTCCATAAGGATAAGATCTTTATTAGCTACTAAATGATTATGTAGTCTTATCTTTAAGCTGGAGATTGTCAATTTGTTGTGTGATTTTTGTTACTCTTAACGTGTGGCTACCTAGTTCACTTTCTATCAGGAAACTTTGGTGAACGTAGGAATTTGGAGCCATTTAGCAGCCTACTAAGCCTACAAGGTGGTCGGAAGAAAAAACCAAATAAAAGTACTATTCCCTCCGTGTCAATTTAGATGACGTAGTTTGACTCGACACTGCGTTTAAGAAAAAAAAAGAATTTTAAAACTTGTAATCCTAAAAGCTTAAGGGATAAAAGATTTGTGGGACCATGATATTTGTGCGATTATAAAAGTTTCTCATTAATGGTAAAATAAAGAGGTTAAAGTTGAATTATTTTCAAATTTAGAAATGTGTCATTTATTTTGGAACAGACTAAAAAGGAAAATAGTTCATCTAATTTGAAACGAAGGGAGTAAGTAAATAAATAAGCAGAAAGGAATCTTGTAATGATCACAATTAATAAGGCTGTTTTGACATAGCAAAAAGAAAAATAAGTATATAAATAAAGAATAGTGTTAGAACTGAGAATCAAGGGGTACGTACCGAAGAAATTGGGATAAAATCCGATACTGTATAAAAAAAAAGATTGAGGACTCTATTTCATTATCACTAAAGAACTGATGAAATGAACCAGAAAATTCTATCTACTTATATTTAAAGAGATAAAAAGATAGAAGGACTAATCTATTAATCAAATACAAAAGTAGTGCCACTTAAATCGAACTGGATTTTTGGGTTTTCATATCACTTAGGCTGTCATTTGCAGCTGAGTTTGGGCCACTAATTAACACCCCTCAAGCTGGAGAGTAAAAATACTCACAAGTTGCGATGAATGCTTGGTTTTGCGTTAAGGAAGAAATACATGTATATATGATATTAGATATTGACTAGTGCTAGTTATATATGAAATGAATAAAATGTATATTTTACTACTCTAGGCAATATAGAATGATATAGAAGACCAGGTAAAGCGTTGGTCAATGTTAGTATATATGGTAAAAATCATATGCCTCCGATTTATAGGCTCGAGGGTTCATCCTAGGCCCATGTCCGGGCGAGATCGAGTTCGAGACCAGACTCGAGCTCGAAGACAGAATGCAATGCCCGAAGGTAGGAGTACGAGGAAGGCCGAAGCCGAGTATGCTCGACCCCGAAATAGTACCGTTATAAATTTGTAACAGAATGAGCTAGATTCCTGCCACGTTCCCAAGATCATGGCGCAAATCCCGGAATATGATTGTACGATTTAGTACTAGGCGGTTAGACAGCAGTATCAAGAATATTCCTTACTATAAATAGAAATAGTCCTTATTTAGGGTTTCCCTATTATATAAAGGGGACCCCAATCATTTGTAAGATCACCTAATCATTGAACAAAGAATATACTCTCTACTTTTTGCCTACTGTTCATCAGGATTGTCCATTGGCTCTACTGTTCTTACTTTACTTTATTTTTGCTTACTTGCTCTAGACCTATCTCGACGTCACTAAGCTCGAGGTCACTACTGCTGAGTAACATTGGTTTGATTCACTTATTTCTTTCATTTCTACTTCATATTTCTTGATTATTAATTGGTATTGAACTAAATCACATATCTTTAAAACTACAAATCAAGTTTAATTATTACTCGTATTTCCGAGGTAAACAGTTTGGTGCCCACCGTGAGGCTAAAGATAATAGTGATTATTTCTTTACTGATTCTCATTACACACATTGTTTTTACACTTTTTCTTGTCAAATTTTCTTGATTCTCAGGCTAAAACATGTCTTGCACACAAAACACACTTGTTCATGACAACGAAGTTCTTGGAAAAAACATCAGTATAGGGGTCGGTGTACCACCAATAAACCTTGATGAAGTGCCAAACATGGAGCCAGTTGATGTCAGTTCACATAATGCTCTAAACGCAGATTCAGGCACAAACCTCGGAGGGAATACACGTAGGAAAGCCCGATCTGGTGGCCAAGGAGCACGAGGACTGGGAAATAGGGGAATCAGCCTCCAAGTGATATTCGAGATGCTGCAAGCTCAGTAGATTGCCATCACTTAACTTCAAAGTCAGAATAAGACTCCAAGCATAGCTAAACATAAAACACTCGACATGCTGAACCAGCACCAGATAGGTCGAGCGGAAATGACTCGGGGACTACCCCACCATTATGAGGATGCTCGAAGGGCTCACCAAGAGGATCGAGTTCGGGGAAAAGAAGATTGAAGAAATTGACAAAAAGATGGAGACTTACAACTCCCGTATTGATCAAATACCGGGGGCTCCTCCGGTCTTCAAAGGTTTAGATGCCAAAACGTTCATACAAAAACCATTCCCCCGAGTGCGGCTCCGATGCACATTCTCATAAAGTTTCGCATGCTCGATGTACCCAAATATAACAGAACAACTAACCCTAACGAGCATATTACTTCATACACTTGTGGGATCAAAGGAAATGACTTGAATGACGATGAAATCGAGTCAGTTTTGTTGAAAATGTTTGGGGAAATACTATCGAAAGGAGCTATGATTTGGTATCATAACTTAGCTCCTAACTCTATTGATTCATTTGCTATGTTAGTAGACGCCTTCGTAAAAGCACACACTGGGGCCATAAAGGTGGCCACAAGAAAATCAGACCTCTTCAAGATAAAACAAAGGAACGATGAGATGTTAAGATAGTTCGTGTCCAAGTTTTAGATGGAAAGAATGGAATTACCGCCAGTCTCTGATGACTGGGCAGTACAGGCCTTTAGGCAGGGCTTGATTGAGCGGAGTTCGATTGCATCTCGATAGTTAAAACAAAACTTGATCGAATATCCAGCTATGACATGGTCAGATGTGCACAATCATTACCAGTCAAAAATCAGGGTCGAGGACGACTAGTTGGGAGCCCCCTAGGGTTCAATTCATCCTAACAGATTCACAGCCAAATCCCCGAGGGACATATATCGGGAATCGAGATTCAACAAAGAGCGGTATCAGCCATACGTCGATCGGAGAAACAACGGTTCAGGTCGTAATGCTCCTTAGAATGATCAGAGGAATTATCAAGGCCAAAGTTCTCGGGGACTCATGAGTAAGAGTGGGTTCAATAAGCATACCGAGCCCACCGAGGCTCCTCGATTATCAGAGTACAACTTCAGCATAGATGCGTCGGGGATTGTCTCGGCTATTGGGAGAATCAAAGACACCAAGTGGCCCAGACCTATAAAGACTGATCCTTTTCAAAGAAACCCGAACTTGATGTGCAAGTATCATGGCACACATGGACATAGAACAGAAGATTGTAGGGAGCTAAGGAAAGAAGTGGCTCATTTGTTCAACGAGAGACACCTTCGAGAATTCCTGAGTGATCGGGCTAAGAATCACTTCAGGGAGAGAGATGCAAGGAAAAATGTGCAAGAAGAACCACACCATGTAATCCACATGATCATTGGCAGAGTCGATGTCCCTCAACGACATGTATTTAAACGCACCAAAGTATCAATCACCAGAGAAAAATGGACTCGGGGCTATGTTCCCGAGGACGTCCTATCATTCTGTGACGAGGAACTATAAGGCATATCTCAGCCTCACAACGACGACCTGGTAATCTCTATCCTTTTAAATAAAATTCAAGTTAAACGTGTGTTAGTAGATCCAGGTAGCTCAACAAACATAATCAGATCGAGGGTCGTGGAACAACTTGGCCAACAAGATTAGATTACACCTGCATCCCGGATCCTGAATGGCTTCAACATGGCAAGCGAAACAACAAAGGAAGAGATTATCTTGCCAGTAAACGTAGCCGGTACCATACAAGAAACTAGATTCCATGTCATCGAAAGTGACATGAGGTATAACGCACTCCTCGGTAGATAATGGATACATAACATGAGGGCAGTGCCTTCAACTATCCACCAGATGATGAAATTCCCAACACAGGAAGGAGTGAAAACGATATACGGAGAGCAACATGCTGCAAAAGAGATGTTTGCAATCGAGGAAGTGGTGCCGATAACAGAGCCTTTGACATCGGATAAATCGAGCACCGAAGGTAAGCAGGTGGCCAAATAGCAATCACCGCCTTTAGCCTCGATGTAGTCGGAGCAACAGGTAATCGAAGACGAAGATGAGGATTTCCTTACTCCTCGAACCTTCTTTGTTCCCGAAGAGTCTGATGCAACCAAATCAACTATCGAGGAGCTGGAGCAGGTTGTTTTGATTGAATATATGCTCGAGAAAAAGGTATACCTGGGAACGGGATTGACCCCCGAACTCAGGAAAAAACTTATTCAATTTCTTATTGACAATATGGATTGCTTTGCTTGGTCCCATTTAGATATGACATGGATTCCACCGGAAATCACCACGCATCGGCTAAGCACAGATCCCAGGTTCAAATCGGTGAAGCAAAAAAGGAGGCCTCAGTCTGAGGTAAAGCATGCTTTCATAAAGGACGAGGTAACCAAACT